GCCGAGGGATGTGCTGGCCGCAGCTTCCCGCTAACCCCATTGGCCCGGGACGGCGAACTGCGGCCAGTGGGGGCCGCGATCGGACGAACCTGCTGCATCAACACGTAAATAAATGGGCCCGGCCCGCTAGGGTGCTTACCCTGGCGAGCCGCGTGCCGAACGTTGCCGACCCCTGGGCTAAATAAATAACTCAATGAATCAACCCGATCTCAAAACATTCTCAGAGCAGCATCTCAGTCAGGGTGCTAAATACCACAAAAGCATTTAACCTTTTCATAAAAAGGAACACGTTGTGCCAGAATAAACTCCCTGTGTAAAAGCACATCTCCTGGGGAAGGAAGCAAAAGGAGGGGAATATCCTACAGCTCAGCCATGCACCCCAAAAATATCTATGGGATAAGACATATGAGCAGAGGGGAAGGCCTGGAGATGGGAGATAACAGGACAGAAGAAGACTCAAATCTTCATAACTCTCTCTTCTGAATATAAGGTTTTCCCCTGCACTTTTATGACTCTCCTAAGAAACCTAGTCCAGACACAGATATAAACACTCACTCCAGAGCAGTGGTTTTCAAACTTTTTAGGTTTTGTACCCCTTTCCAAATATATAGTCTACTGCATGCGCTCATCTGAGATAGGGTCATAATATGATTAGACTGCCAAATCTCACTAAATAAAATGTGTTACAGGATTTGTCTTATGTGCCTCCGATGAGAGTTCAGGTACACATACCAGGTTGAAAACCATGGTCCTGGAGGAATAAATCACATTTAATTAGGAAAGGAAGGGAATGCAGGGGGAAACTTTCCAAGTACAGGGATGAGTTGGGGACATTTATTGCTGATGCCTTTTATTTATTTGGAACATATAGCAATAAACATTGGAAAGAAAGTTCTAGGATATTTTATCTATCTCCGTCAAAACTGGGACACAGGACCCATTACTATTGTGACAGACCCAGACCAGTGGGGTACAGGAGTCTGGTAGAGGGCAAATATACTGGTCACTGGATGAGTAGTTTTCTGTCCCCTGAGTGACCAGAGCAGGGGCTGCACTAGAGTAATCAGGAACCTACTAGAACCAGTTAAGGCAAGCAGGCTAATTAGGACACCTGGAGCCAATTAAGAAGAAGCTTCTAGACTCAATTAAGGCAGGCTAATCAGGGCACCTGGGTTTTAAAAAGGAGCTCATCCCAGTTTGTGGTGGGAGTGTGAGGAGCTTGGAGCAAAAGGTGCAAGGAGTTTAGAGTCAGAGGATGTGCTGCTGGAGGACTGAGGAGCACAAGCGTTATCAGACACCAGGTGGAAGGTCCTGTGGTGAGAATAAGGAAGGTGTTTAGAGGAGGCCATGGAGAAGTAGCCCAGGAGTTGTAGCTGTCATGTAGCTGTTACAGGAGGCACTATAGACAGCTGCAGTCCACAGGGCCCTGGGCTGGAACCCAGAGTAGAAGGCGAGCCCGGGTTCCCCCCAAACCTCCCAATTGACCTGGACTGTGGGTTCTCCCAGAGGGGACGGTCTCTGGGCTGTTCCCCAGCCCACATGGTGAATCTCTGAGGCAAGAAAATCCGCCAATAAGCGCAGGACCCACCAAGATAGAGGAGGAACTTTGTCACACTATTCTCCTCTCCACTGTGAGGACTGATTTGTTTAATCATTTTGTATATTTAAATAACTCTAGTACAAAAAATCACAAGATTTCTTTTTATTATTAGACGTGCCAACAGATAAAGAATTTCACTTTCCTCTTTCCTCACAAAGAAGTGCATTTGAAGGGTGGAGGTCACCCATCTATCTGCCGCCTCACAAATTCCTACAAGAAATGTCATTTTGAAGCAATATTCACACGCACCCTCAAAAATTGAAACTCTGACCCCACCCGCTCTTTCATTCCCTGTGCTCTCTGTCCTTACAGGGCAGCAAGGAGAACACAGGCAGAAGGCTCCTTCAGAATCCACTTGACATTGATATATTTAGTTACTATTTATCAAAACATCATCCACAGACAGACTTAAAATACCCTTGTATAATTATAATTATTATCGTTGTTAGTATTATTTCACACACAGAGATGATTCTTAGAGTGAGGAAGACCAAATGAAGCTGCCACCACATTCCTGAGGCGAGACATGGAAAGGAATCAAAATGTCACTCACCCCGTCCTCATACTGTTCCCTGAAATACCCCAGCACCACAGGCTGCTACATCTGCTCTAAGGGGCTGGGGTGGCAGCTGATACTTTTGCCCATCAGGCTCCAACCACCACCCCCATCTTAAAGGCCCACAAGCAACATAGCTTCATCACTGAGGTTCTCCTGAACTAGTTCTGCTGAATTTACACCAAGCTTTTCAGTGGCAAAACAGTTTCCTCTCAGAGCTGCTACAGAGCCACAATATCTTTCTCTGAGAATCCTTTTGCTCCTTCTCCTCAGCCATTATGGTCCCTACATTAGTACCCATTCTGAACAGATGCTTCCTCCCTATTTGCTAGAAATTATGCATAATTAAGCCACAAAAGCCAATCAAAAGGGACTACACTATGGGCCAGCTTGAAAAGGAGCAGGGTGGACAGAAAAAGTGAAATACTAACAGAGGGTTTCAAAGGCACTGAAGCCTTGGCCTCGTACAGAAAATGTCACTATCTGATGGTGCTTTGTTTTTAGCAGAAGCTGGATAAGTGTCAGCTCACAAAAAGGTGCTTTAAACATGAGCTCATAGTGTTTGTTATAATTGTTTATGAATAATAATAAATATTAATAAGTTATGCTTTAATAACTTGGGATGCTAACACAAAAACTTGCAGAAAAAGCATCAAGAAATAAGTTAAACAGTTAAATTGTCACCAATATCTGGGGAACTGCAGTTTTCAAATCGAGTTACTTGAAGTTGGGCAGTTATATCTACATGTACTGTAGATTTCGAAACCAGTAGTCAGAGGAGTAAAACAGGTGCCTAAAAGATGGATGCAGTCCATGGCAGAATCAGTCAGTTACACCCCACTGTTTTGACCTTCAGTTTAACAAAGACCATGGTTGTTTGTATTGTCTTATAGCATAGCATCATACTCATCCAAGCCCTGTATTTGAAAGATTTCTGATGTCTCTCAAACTTTAGGGAAAGTTGGAGTTGCACTTTACTATTTACAGTACCCATTATTAGCTTGACTCCAATGGGACTACTCGTACTTCAAGTTAAGCACTTGTGTAAGTGTTTGCAGGAATGGGAGCATATATGATACATGTAACAGCACATTTTTCAATGGTCTGTCCTATCCACTTTACAATGAACAGAGGAGTTTCTGATACTTCCTTTGGTAGATTATTTCACTGTCTAATAATATTACTAGGAAATTTTTCCTGATATTTAACATACATATCTTTTGCACAAGTTCCTAGTTTTACCACCTTGGAATAACCTAAACAATTCTTCTCTCTCCTTGGTGTTTATACCCTTCAAATGTATCTATCTTCGTCAGCTTTTCTACTGTATCTAGCACAGTAGTATCCATTTTTGTCTTGTTGGATGGATTATTTTTTTAGTACTATCTGCTCTTCAACATAAATTATGCTGATCTATTAGAAACTCAGGCCTCAATTCTCTGTTCTGGCTGAGCTGTTCTAGCACATGTATTGGGGAATGGGAGCTAGGGACAAAGGTCGTCCCTGGAGTTCCTGCCTGCCCTCCAGCCACAGGTGTTGGAAGTAGGGGTACTGGGGGTGCTGCCACACCCCCTGGCTTGAAGTGGTTGCCAGCATATATAGAGTTTACAGTTTGGTTCAATGTCTCTCAGCACTCTCACTATCAGGACCGGCTCCAGGCACCAGCCGAGCAAGTGGCGGCATTCTGTCCAATCCTAGGGTCGCATGGCCACCTTTTTTTTTTGGATCGCGGCTCTGGCCACGCCGCACATGTTTTTTTTGTTTGTTTTTTTGCTTGGGGCGGCGAAAAAGCCAGAGCCGGCCCTGCCCACTATACAAATTGTCCAGCATCTCTGCCTCCATCATAAGGCTGCTCTAACTTGCACCTCACTACTCATGTTGCAACAGTGCAACCCCCTTTCCATAAGGTTTGAGAGACTTCAGAAACCTTTGAAATACAAGGCTTGGATATGTGTAGTGCTTTGCTATGAGATAATACAAACAACCTTCACTTAACCAAACTTTTGTTAAACTGGAGGTCAAACTGCAAGTGGGGGTGGGGAGTGGCATGGAGCCATTATGACTCTACACTACCTAGGGATTCTCTTTACAGTGGGAATTCTTGGGTGGCCAGCTCAGCCAGCTTCCTGGCTCCATTCCATTGTCAGAGTGGTGTAAAAAGGCCACAGCACAATATAGAATTGGGCCCACAGTCTAGTTTTCAAACTCAAAGAAGTGCTATTGATACTATCTTAGCAGCATGACAATGGCAAGAAAAACATCTTGTACCGTGCTAAGACCCGCGTACTATCTTGTTGACTCTATTAAGGTCTTTGCTACTTTGTCTCAAGCTTGTTTATGGAAACTGCTTACAAAATTTGGATGCCTGCAAAAATACGTTAACTGTCTGTGCCAAATGCACGATGGAAGGTCAGGAAGTTTTATATGGATGGGATTCTGCCTGAAATAAGGGCAGCAAGATTATACTAGCTATTGTA